TCATTGCGTTCAGTGTTTTCAAAGGGAGCTGCGACTTTCTCAGGAAAATAACTGGCGAACTGGATGAAGGATAGGAGAAATGGAGCTGGGTGGAGGGAGGGTGCTGATGGAGGGAATTTTCTACAGTAGATTTGTCCCGGCAGGAGGAAAGATTAAGTACGGCACGATGCCCTGGATTCGACAAAAGACCAGGGGGGCTGGAGGAGTCTCCAAATCACAGTGCCGCCCCCCCCAAACCCACCCAGTCAGTAGTGTGCTCTTAAGTCATCAGAAGAGCTGTCACCCCAGATTGTGTTGCTCTTTGGGGCCCAAGAAAGTCTGTTGGCGGCCTTCCAAGGGAGCATGTCATAGAGGAAGGGACTTGTTTCCTTCCCGCTGCATCCAGGAGTCTGGGTCTGAGTGGCGGTACAGAGAATGGCGTGGCAGCCAGGAGCCCACCCGTGGTTGACGTTGCTGGGGAGGGAAGAGCAGAATCCCACTTTGGCCGGGGCCACTGTGGAGAGGGACGCCTGCTTGCACAAAAATGATCTGCACAACAGCCAAGGTAAAACGTAAAGCCTGTAGGAGCGCAGAGAAGGAAGTGTGGGCATTTGAGGACCTCTGGAGGTCTGTGCTGGTGGAAGGGGAAGAAGAGAAATTTGGAAGGGGGTTGATTTTCTTAAAGGCAAAGATGGGAAGGGTATTTGCCAGGAACATTTAGGAGGGAATGCTACTGTTACAGGCTGAGAAGCTGCAGTAGCACCCAGATGGGAGAATTTCACTTATATTCAAAGTAACCATATTCATAATTTTGATAAATATGTTTGTTTATTTTTCATTTGAAATCCTTATATTGTGCTTTTTAAAAAAATTTTATTGAAGTATAGGTGATTTACAATGTTGTGTTAATTTCTGCTCTACAGCGACGTGATTCAGTGGTACCTATATATACCTATATATACCTATATATACCTATATATATATATACCTATATACCTATATATACCTATATACCTATATATTCTTTTTCATATTCTTTTCCATTATGGTTTATCACGGGAGACAAATATGTCTATTGAAGATCAAAATTAGATTTCATTTCTACAACTCAGAAATAATTAACCAGATTTGGAACCCCACATTCTCTGTTATGCACAATGAGACCAGACTTTGACACTAAACTCTCTGGAACACACCGACCTCCACAATAAACCAGGGATAATAATTTTGTGTCATAGCACTGTTGTGCAGACAGTGAAAAAACTTTGGAGTGAGAGAGAGGCATGGACATATATATGCTACCAAATGTAAAATAGATAGCTAGTGGGAAGCAGCCGCATAGCACAGGGAGATCAGCTCGGTGCTTTGTGACCACATAGAGGGGTGGGGTAGGGAGGGTGGGAGGGAGACAGAAGAGGGAGGGGATATGGGAACATATGTATGTGCACAGCTGATTCACTTTGTTATACAGCAGAAACTAACACAGCATTGTAAAGCAATTATACTCCAATAAAGATGTTAAAAAAAAAACAACTTTGGAGAAAGTGTTTTGCACAGTATCTGGCATGCAGTAAGTGTCCAGTGATATTTGTTCACTGCTCAGTGAAAAAGTCTTCACCAGAAAGTTGAACTAGTGGCAGAAGGAAGACCGCATAAACCATTAGAGCAGAACTGCAAGGGCTGTTGACATCCACAGTGCCACGCACGAGAAAAAGAGACGACAGATTCTTGTACAAGATGGAGCAGGGAGAAGAGCGCCCTGAATTGAAGACCAGGCGGGTGGATTCGTCCTGGCTCTTCCTCCGGCTCCCCTGCGCCGTGGCTTAGCCCCTCAGCTGGCCTCTCCCACGATCAGATTGCTCGAGCGGAAGCCGAGGGGCTCTGTCTCAGGAGTAGCTACGGTCCCTTATCACAATAACAGTTCACACATTTGTAAGGTATCACCCTATGGTTGCTAAAGCACTTGCTTTGATTATTTATTGTTTCTCCATGTAGAGTATAGCAGTTAGGGGATGGCAATTCTAATGTGTTGTGGTTTTAATTTTCTAAACGGTGTTTTTATAGAAAAGGCATGTATACTATAATCCCTAATTATATTAACTGCAACCGTGGGAGGTCAGGTTGATTGGACGGGCAGGGAATAGCATCTCTGGTGCCAACTTACCCGAATTCTAGCTACATGAGTAAGATGAAGAATACAGACACTTTCGTGAGCTGGTCTTGAAAGCCCAAATATAAAAAGAAAGGTTATGATGGTCACACTTTATTGTTTTATTTACTTATTTTCATTATTTATTTATTTTATTGACGTATAGGGGTTTTTTTAAAACATCTTTATTGGAATATAATTGCTTTACAATGGTGTGTTACTTTCTGCTGTATAACAAAGTGAATCAGCTACGCATATACATACACTTATAATGTGTTAGTTTCAAGTGTACAGCAGTGATTGAGTTATGCATTTATATATATATATAATATATATTCTTTTTCAGATTATTTTCCATTATCGGTTATTACATGATATTGAGTAGAGTTCCCTGTGCTATACAATAGGTCCTTATTGTTTACCTATTTTATATATAGTAGTTTGTATCTGTTAATTCCGAACTCCTAATTTATCCCTCCCCCCTTCCCCCCACCCCTACTATCCCCTTTTGTTTGTTTTCTATGTCTGTGAGTCTTTTTCTGTTTTGTAAATAAGTTCATTTGTGTCATCTTTTAAGATTCTGCGTATAAGTGATACCATATGATATTTGTCTTTTTCTGTCTGACTTATTTCACTTAATATGATAATCTTGAGGTCCATGATGGTCACACTTTAAATGTATATTAGTCACATGTATTTTCTAAGGGAAGAATGGGGAGAGGCCAAGGTAAGGGGGAGGTGATGAGACTAATATTACAGAGAATATTTACTGCATACATACTACATAGTGTGTCAGGTATTGTGACAAGCATTTTATATACGTTATTCCCTTTGCCCTATAGGGAGGGAGGCACAGTTATTCTCATTTTACAGAAAATCAACTTGCCAGTGTTACACAGAAGACTGTTGGGATTTGAAGCCAGGTCTGTATCTCTATTCCGTGAGTTTTCCAGATCGTTGCCTAAAAACAGGAATGTAGGGAAAGGACCTAAAATTATTTGGCGCTTAAAAGTATAAAGATTTACCGGTATAGGGGTGGCAAAGCTCCCCAGTTTGCAAAGTGTGCTTAGTAATAGGGTATTTGAGCATTAATTTTAGCAAGTACTGACCCTATATTCACCTGGAGATAGGTTCCATTGCTGCATCATGGGAGTTTCTAGTTTGTATCACTTTCCATCATTAACTGTGTAGCTGGATGCGTTCCCAAACACTGGAACAGGCATTTTTGCAGGGCCTGAGCACCGGGCACTGGCCTCCACAGCTGTACCGTGAAGCAGTTTTCAACTCTCAAGTAACTGTTACATTAGCAAAGCAAGACAATAGCCAACGTTTCATTTGTGCCCAGCAGTAAACCCTGAGCTTCATCAGAGGAGGTTGCGGCTGATTCATAAACAATAGGGATTTTCTCTAATTGAAGAGCATCTGCTGGCCACGGGAGATCGTCTTTAATCCCCTCTAATGAGTTCAGAAGCTGTCGCAACTTCTGATGACAGTATGGGCTTCATTTTAACTGCTTGGTTATCCTGTCAGCTCCACACCGAGTTAACACCATCGCTTTACCTACTGGCCTTGGTTTTCTGTCTTTCTCTTGTTTTCCGTGTTTTATTTTGTGACCCTACTACTCACGGTCACCCAGGCTGGATAACCGGGGTCCTCCTGATTCCTTACCACCTAGATTCAGCGTGTTTCCCGAATGCATCTCTTCTCCGCTCCCATCACCTCTGCCTTGGCCTCACCTGTACTTGCCTGGACCCCCGTCCCCAGGCTCTTCTCCTCAATTCGGTTTCCACCCAGCCAAGCATCTTCCATTTAAACCCAAGACTGACCAGTCTCTGCCTGTTTGAACCTTCAGGGGTCCCCGATGCCTACAGAATAGAGTCCCTGCTCCTGGCATGCCCGGACGAGCCCCTTAGGCCTCCTCTCCCCTCTCCCCTCTTAGCCATCACCGTCAGCAGTGCTGAACTTGTCTTTCTGCCATGTACAGTTCTGTGGGCTGTGTCTCCCCTCTGGGCCGTTTGCTCAAGCTGTCCTCTTTGTTCAAAATGCCCTTTCCGCCCATGCCATCCCCCAACCTCCCATCCCTTGCCTGGGTCCTCATCATTCTTTGAGACACAGTTCAGACGAGAGCCTCGCCCTCTGTCCCAGGAACGGCAGGTGACCCTCCCCTCTGTCCCCATGTCTCCAGGAACAAACTAGGTGTTAAATGTATTCCCGTAACCATCACTGCCCTTCTGACACTTTACTGTGATTCTCTGTTGGTGTGTCTGTTGTCCTTCTTTGGAATGTTAGCTCATCCTTGTAAAAGTAGACAAAGCTCAGCTCCTGGTAGTAAATTACACAAGAGGGATGACCAGAAGGTCTTAGAAAATCATGCAAATAGCTCCTAAATATACGAAAGGATGTTCCGTCTCGCTGATAGGAGAGGAATGCCGATTACTGTTTGACCAGTTCTTACCTGTGGTAAATCCAGAAGTTTGACAACATACTCTGTGGGTGGGGTCATGTGGAAATAGGCATTCTCTGACATTGCTGGTTGGACAACAAAATGGTACAGCCCTATGGCGGGGGGGAATTTGGCAGTATCAAGCTAACGTATATATGCCTTACCCTCTGGTCCAGGAATGACACTTCTAGGAATCTATCCCAAAGATGTACTGCAAAATAAATGAGAACATGTTTGCAGAAACCTATATTTTATAGCACATTTTATAAGAGCAAAAGATTGGAAACAGCCCATATAACCATTAATAGAGATCTCGTTGAATAAAGGGAAGGTGGAAAAAACACGTGTTTAGTTTGCTACTCTTTTTCTGAGAAAGGGGAGGATATGATTATAAATATATTTTTCTTTTAGTGTTTACAAGTTTTCCTATAAGGAGAAAGAAGTAACAAGATGTAGATGACAAAGATAAAAGCTAGACTTCTGTAAATATCCCTTATTTTAAGAATTTTACTTTGAAACCATGTAAATATTTTACTTAATTACACAAGAATTTTTTAATCCCTAAAAAATGAAACAAAACTAAACAAATGAACCTAAACATGTACTGAGTTGGTGGAAAGATCTCCCAAAGAACTAACTCTGATTTTTTCTCCTCTATTTTCCCTTCCCTCCAGCCTTTTGCCATCAGAATCACTGACCCTAAGCCCACAACAGATTGAAAAGTTTGTAACAGTCTCTGAGGCAAAGTGGAAGCCTGCATTCCTCAGGATGGGTTAAGGGGAGGTCCTCGGCGAAAAGCGAGATCTCCTTTATTTCCTGCTTATTTTACTAAAGAATTTCTTTTTGTCACTCAGGTTCCTCCTTCCTTCTCTCTCCGCATCACAAAAACTGCAGTGAGAAACCAAAGGGGCGGGCCCCTGACTTCCAGTAGGAGGTTTCACACTTGGAAAGTGGTAGTTCTGAGGACACAAATAGGGAAATTTCAGAGAGAAGCCTAAGGCTGGGGCTGGAGAGCCCTAGGCCATAGTAACAAGAACTGGTTAACCCCAGAAAGGGTAGGAAAGCTTCTGACACTGCAGAGGTAAAGAAGAGTGCCATGCAGAGCAGATCAAAGAAGACCAGTAGACTTGCCCATGCTGGGGGAGTAGAATCAGCTTCTGGTTAGAGGGTTGAGGGGTAAAACAAGAAGCCTTCCTGTGTAACACGTTTGCACCTGGACATGTTACCCAGTCCAAGGTCGTACTGCTCGCCACACAACAGGCCAAGAAATCGGGACACAAGGTGTTGGGGCAAGGAATAGAGATTTTGTTCAGGAAGCCGGAGAAGATGGGGGACTAGTGTCCCCAAGAACCACCTGCCCCAACTTAGCAGTCAGGCTGCTTTTATACTAAAATGGGAGTGGGCGTGGCTGATTGTTGGAAACGTCTTGGTGCTGGAATCCTTTGTTCACAACTGTTATTCTCTGTTCTGCAACATTTTATCTCTGTATGAATGGAAAAGTGTTTTACCCTTAAAGGTCAGAGCCTTCAGAATAGGCTCCCCTGTATATTTCAGGCTAGAGGCAACACTGTTTCACAAGGTGCAGAGCCCGCAGGACTCAGCACAGGCAACAGAGCACAAGGCTTAGAGCTACAGGGATAGACCTGATGCGGAAGCAGGTTTGTTCTTCCCTGTTACACATCTGTGCTGTCTGGTCGCCACAAGTCATGCCCTCCAGGAGTTGGTGGGGGGCAAGATGGTTATTTGGGATCTATGCCTGTGAACAGAAAGAGACTGAAGCAGGATTGGGCAGAGGAAGAAGCCGAACTGTGGTGAGGGCTCAACAAAGCCTCCGCTCACCGGGTGAAAAATGGTCCCATGGCAGGTGGAAACATCTGGACTTTATCCCCTCACCTTACCGAGTCTTCTGACCATGCTGCCCCGAGAGGGCTTGCCTCAGAGAGAGACACCACGAGAGGGACACAGCCCGCTGCAGCTAAAGCAGCCCTTGAAGGAGCTGACAGCTGCAGGCTGTCTACTGATGGTATTTCCTGCAGCTGGGGCACAAGTCTTTCCTTGGAGGGGGACTTGGGGGTTATATCCCTTTGCCACCAGGCTAGCAACCCTCTTCATAGTTAATGTAGAGTGTTTTTACTGTAATTTCTCTCAACAAACAAAAGGCATTACACTTTCAGTAAAGAACTCCATATATTTAAGGTTGAATTCAAAATTGCTGTTAGAATTTATATTCCATGGATTATCAGGTGGTCAATATTATATTTCTGGGCAGGCTGGAATTAGCTGTTGGTTCATTTATTCATCTCACAAACATTTCTTAAGCATCTATTGCATGACAGTCTCTGGAAATTGAAATATGAATAAAGATGCTTTTCCCCTGAACTGGGAGTGAGATTCTAGTAGGGAGGCGGACAAAATAGACAATTGAAACAACGTGGTAGCAGTTTAACAGGCAGGTATAAACAAGACGCTGTAGAAGTTAAAGGGGCGTGAAGGAGCCAGTGGTCAGCTCTGTCTGCAGGCATCCTCCTGGGAGAGGAGGCACGGGCTCTGACTCTCAGAGGACAGAAATATTCACATAAGAACATTATCGGAAGAGCAAATGAATGGGTAAAGGCTCAGAGGAACGAAAGAGCATCACACGTGATGGGAACCACAGATAGATTAATATGACCAAGGTACAGATTGTGTTTAAGGACGTGTTGAAATACGGGGCTGGGAAAAATGCATAAACGATGATCTTATTCATTTAAAATATAATTTCTAATTGTATTTTATCTAGCCGGGGCTTCTCAGATGCCTCTAACCGTGGTTTGTGATTTTTGTCTGTTCGGTTTGTGCAGTGACAGCCCTCTGCAGAACATTCCTTGGGATATGTTGGAAGACAGTGTTGACTGAGGCTGCCAGGTCTGTGGGGACGTACGGCTGCTCTAGATCTAGAACCTGAACAGGTCTCTTCTGGACTTGATGTTGACAGGTAAGGAAGAGACTGGATGCCGTTCCTGGGGATGCTACAGCTGTGTCTTGTCTGTTCCTGGAGGCTGGAACACTGAGCTCTTAGAAGGAACACCCTGCCTTCCTGTCATAAAGAGTCCCTAGCAACCACCTAGTTCGGGTCACAGACAGGGAGAGGAGAGACAGCAGAGTCTTTGGCTGTTTCTGGTGCAGATAAACTGGTGTGAGGAAGCTGAGAAAGAAAATCCAGTAGCACAGCTACAACCATGGCAGGTGTATCCTTTCAAGAGCCAGTACCGACCACAGTGGGGAGGCGGATGGTTTTTACAGGTAAAGGGCTTTTGAGTATCTTTCACAAGGAGAGTTAAGCTTTCTTTACCCCTCACCTATATGATGCTCACGTGACAATGGACATGAGAATGAAAGAAACATGTTATTCTACACGATTCTGTTACTCTTATGCACTCAGTCTGGGCGTCGACACCAAGCTGCCGTGAACAGCTGTTCCCGTTCTCACGACATCTGAGCTAACTTCCACAAAGGAATATTTTTGTATCATAAAGTTTATGTTTTGTGTAATGGGGGCTGCTCCGATGTTGATAAAAAGTATACTTGTGAGCAAATTTTCATTATTACTGATTTAAGTTTCTTGCATTTTTATACACTTTGACATATTTGGTTGATAAAAATTTGAGCAGGACGTGTAGTAAGCTCAGTAAAATTGTCGGCTGGCATCTTGTTCCTTCAGCGTGCTTTAAGTGATTTGGGTGGTGTGTGTGTGAGTGCAATTATGTGTGTGTATAACTGAATCCCTTTGCTGTATACCTGAAACTAACACAACATTGTAAATCAACTATACTTCAGTTTAAAAAAGTGTAGTTAAATAGAATACGACTAATTGTGATGTCTGTAAGAAATAAAGCACGTTTAATCTTATTTCCTTTATATTTTAAAATCACAAGCCTATTTTTAAGCATGCCGCTTGCTCATCTGTAAATTCCCCTCCAATCATGAGAAGCCTGGCTCCCACCCGTTGCCATCAGTTCACTTAATTGTTTAATTTTCAGTATATGTATATACACGTATCAGAATTGTTAACCAGTTCTCCAGGGGAGAAAACCTTATCGACCAGAGTACGGTGCTTCCTTGACGTTCTCTTGCCCTTGGGCTTACAGGCTCTGCTCGTTTCCAGAGTTACTTGGGTCGGGACCTTTCCCCAGCCCCTCCAGTGAGGCTGCTTCATACACCTGTCATGCAGTTAGATTCTCCTGTCACTGTCTGAATTGTCCTGGAGTTCCCTAAACTCCTAAATGATTGTTTTAAAATTTATCTTATTGAAGTATCGTTGATCTACAATGTTGTGTTGATTTTTGCTTTACAGCAGAGTGATTCAGTTATACATATGCATGTATATTCTTTTTTATATTCTTTTCCATGATGGTTCATCACAGGGTATTGAATATAGTTCCCTGTGCTCTACGGCAGGTCCTTGTTGTTGACCCATCCTGTATGTAATAGTTTGCACCTGCTGACCCCACCCTCCCAGTCCATTCCTACCCTCTCCCCCCACCCCCTTGGCAGCCACCAGTCTGTTCTCTATGTCTGTGAGTCTGTGTCTGTTTCCTAGATAAGTTCCCTAAATGATTTTTTGAAATTGTATACATCAGGGTTTCCTCTTTGTGCTGTGAAGTCTACAGGCTTCGACAACTTGGTAAGGCCGTGTACCCACATGACAGTATCATGCAGAACAGGTTCACCCCTCTAAATGTCCCTGTGCTTCACCTACACACGCCCCACTTTTCTCTCCCTGAGACCCTGGCACCACTGATCTCTTACTGTCTCCATAGTTGTGCCTTTTCCTGAAAGGCCTAGAGCTGGAACCACACAGTGTGTTGCCTTTGCAGACTGGCTTCTTTCGCTTGTCAGTAGGCACTGAGGGTTCCTCCATGTCGTTTCATGGCTTGGAGTGCTCATTTATTTTATCACTGAATAACCTTCCCTCGTATGGTTGGATCATAACTGTTTACCTAATCATCTTAGTGTCTTGCGGTTTTCGGCAATTCTGAAAAAAAAACTTCTATAAGGCTTTTGCATGGGTATGTTTTCAACTCAATTTGGTAAACACTTACTTAGCAATGGGATTGCTGGATCACGTGGTGAGACTCTGTTTAGCTTTGTAAGAAACTGCCAGACTGTCTTCCAAAGCAGCTGCACCACTTTGTGTTCCCACCAGCAAGAAGAGAGCGAGAATCCCTGTTGCTCTGCACCCTTGTCAGCATTTGGTGTTTCTTATTTTTTACCTGTAGCCAGTCTAACTGGATGTAATTACATCTCACTGTTGTTTTAATTCCCTAATGACCAATGATCATATACTTACTTGCCATCTGTATGTCTTCTCTGATGAGATGTCTGTTCACAATGTTTGCCTATTTTATAATTTTTTTTCTTATTGTTGAGTTTTAACAGTTCTGTATATATTTTAGATACAAATCCTTTATCAGATAAGTGTTTTGCAAATGTTTTCTCCTGGTCTGTGGCTTGTCGTTTCATTTTCTTAACATAGACTTTGATAGAGCACAAGTTTTTAGTTTTAGTAAAGCACAGGGAATCAATTTTTTCTTTCATGGATTGTGCTTTTGATGTTGTATCTAAAAATTCAAAACCAATTCCAGGGTCCCCTAGATTTTTCTCCTTGTTTTCTTCTAAAAGTTTTTACTGTTTGGTGTTTTCATTATATCTATGATCCATCAAGGTGATTTTTGTGTCTTTTATCTTATTTTTTTATACTATTTATTTATTTATTTATTTGGTTGCTCTGGGTCTTATTTGAGCAGGAGGGCTCCTTAGTTGCAGCTTGCGGGCTCCTGGGTCATGGCATACGAACTCTTAGTTGCGGCATGCATGTGGGATCTGGTTCCCTGACCAGGGATTGAACCTGGGCCCCCTGCATGGGGAGTGTGGAGTCTTATCCACTGCGCCACCAAGGAAGTCCCCTTTGTCTTTTAAAGTTTTCATTTCCGCCAGCTAATTGATTTCCTTTTTGCTTTAAGCCAGTTTGGGTTGGCTTTTCTGTCACTTCCAACTGTGAAAGAGTCTTAATTGATACTTGAAATTTCTTCTGATCTATGTCAGTGTGTACTTAGTTTCATGTATTTACGTAGCTCAAATTCTTGTCACCTTTGATAGGTTTAAGGTTTTTCATTATATTGATACAAAATAATTAACTTCATATCCTCCTGTATTTTATATTTAGTCTCCAGATTTTCTCTTATAGTAAAGCTACATGAAAACTTTTGGGTAAATTATTTTTCCCTTTCTGTTATTTTCTTGTGGTATATTTACAAAGAGTGGAATTAGGTGGTGAAAGGTACAGACTCCTGTTGAGGCCACGAACTTCAGAGGATTGTATAAAATACTATGAACGATGTATTTGTATTAAAAGCCTACAAATAGTTTTAAAAATCACTTTTACTTATTTATTTTTAAAATACTTATTTATTTATTTGGCTGCATTGGGTCTTAGTTGCAGCGTGTGGGCTTCTCTCTAATTGTGGCATGCAGGCTCCAGAGCGTGTGGGATCAGTAGTTGTGGCGCGCGGGTTTAGTTGCCCTGCGGCATGTGGCATCTTAGTTCCCTGACCAGGGTTTGAACCCGTGTCCCCTGCATTGGAAGGCGGATTCTTTTTTTTTTTTTTGTCGTTTTTGCTGTACGCAGCCCTCTCACTGCCGTGGCCCCTCTCGTTGCGGAGCACAGGCTCCGGACGCGCAGGCTCAGCGGCCATGGCTCACGGGCCCAGCTGCTCCGCGGCACGTGGGATCCTCCCGAACCAGGGCACGAACCCGTGTCCCCTGCATCGGCAGGCGGACTCTCAACCACTGCACCACCAGGGAAGCCCTGGAAGGCGGATTCTTAACCACTCGACCACCAGGGAAGTTCCCCATTTTTATTTATTTTTGATAATGGAGAGGTATATATCAATCTTTTTTTGATACAACTTTTAAAAAGTTTGTTATGGGGCTTCCCTGGTGGCGCAGTGGTTGAGAGCCTGCCTGCTGATGCAGGGGTCACGGGTTTGTGCCCCGGTCCGGGAAGATCCCACATGCCGCGGAGCGGCTGGGCCCGTGAGCCATGGCCGCTGAGCCTGCGCGTCCGGAGCCTGTGCTCCGCAACGGAGAGGCCACAGCAGTAAGAGGCCCGCGTACCAAAAAAAAAAAAAAAAAGTTTGTTATGACTCTTTTAAAATATATCCCACTTACCTGTTACTTATATCAAAATGTTTCCACATTTGATCACATAGCTTTTTTCTTTTTCATTTGCTGAACTATTTAAAAGTGAATTCCAGATATTCTATTGATATTATTTCACTCCTGTATGTTTCACTGTGCATCTCTTAAAAAAAAAAAGAACATATTCTTACATAGCCACATTGATATTATCATACCTAACAAAATTAACACCTATCCTGTGACATTATGTAATAACTAGTCCGTGGTAATATTTCCCTCATTGCCTCTAAAATGCATTTTTATGATTGATCGTGAAAATACAGATTCAAGCTAGGTCCACACATTCATTGCATTTGGTTGTGTTGTCTCTTTTGGTGTCTTATAAGCTGGTATAGACTTCTTTTTTTTTCTTGTTGCAGAAATTGTGTCAGTCATCCAGTAGAAATACCCAACATTGTGGATGTGGCTACTGTCATGTCATTTAACGTGTTCCTCTATCCTCTGTATTTTCTGAAAATTGAATTTGGCTGTTGAGTCTTGATTTTAGTAGGTTCAACCCTTTAGGGAAGCTTGTTTCTTGAATGCTGCTGTGGTCAACACATCACACATTAACTTTTACGCAGGTCAGATGTTACAACGTCAATTTCTCTAAGGCCCATCACTTAGGACCTTTCTAAGTTATTGGAACTTAGCCTCTTTTCCCTCCAAGTTTGGAACTGATCTCAATGGAAAGTCCATGTTCTTATAAAAGTGTTGGCAAAAGTGGGTATGTACCCTGGTTAGGCAAATGAAAAG